ATTGTGAATTGATGCCTCTTCAGTTCAGATCAAGTTTCTTATTCAGTATTAAATTATTGGATTTTCAAGTTATGTAATCAGTAAGTATAAGCTTTAAGTTAAGCTTGTACATTCCAGTTTTAGTATTTCCGAGGTCGGCCAGGTCGTTGCGTATGCTTCACGTCAGCTTAAGCCTCATGAGCAGAACTATCCTACGCACGACTTGGAGCTAGCAGCAGTCGTTCACGCTCTGAAGATCTGGAGACGTTATCTTTACGGCAGACGCTGCGAGATTTTCACAGACCATAAGAGCCTGCAGTATATCTTCACGCAGAAGGAGCTTAATATGAGACAGCACCGTTGGCTCGAACTAGTCAAGGATTATGATTGTTCTATTCAGTATCATCCGGGAAAGGCGAAAGTCGTCGCGGATGCCCTAAGCCGAAAGGTGAAGGGTGACTTGACGTACGTCATTACGCAGCAGGGTCCGTTGATTCATGAGTTTGCCCGGATGCAGCTTCAAGCAATCGATGCACTTCCCATAGATGTCTCGGGGAGTACCAGTGCCAGTGTCAGTGCTATGCAGCTTCAGCCGACACAGAGAGAGAGAATCCGATGAGAGCAGGCTTCTGACGAGTTTGTTCGTGTTATGGAGGCCAAAGTTCGCGCCGGAGGCGTTCAAGATTTTCAGTTAGGTACCGATGGTGCCTTAGAATTCAGAGGCAGGATCGTGGTCCCGAAGGTCGAGGCGTTGCGGAAGGAGATTCTATCAGAGGCACATACCGCACCCTATCTGGCCCATCCCGGGAGCACGAAGAGGTATCACGACCTGAAAGGGTCGTTTTGGTGGCGAGGCATGAAGAAGGACGTCGCGGAGTTCGTCAGAAGGTGTCTTACCTGTCAACAAGTCAAAGCCGAACATCAGAGTCCGATTGGCCTCCTGCAGCCACTGTCGATTCCGAGGTGGAAGTGGGAGGAAGTCACGATGGATTTCGTTACGGGATTGCCGAGGTCGTCTAAACATCACGACGCTATCTGGGTCGTGGTCGACAGATTGACTAAGGTTGCTCATTTCTTACCCGTTTCGATGAAGATGTCTCTGGACAAGTTGGCTGAGATATATACCCGTGGGATCATCCGACTACGGAGTTCCCGTCACGATTGTATCAGACAGAGATCCCAGATTCGTCAGCCGATTCTGGCACAGCTTACATGAGGCGATGGGCACGAAACTTGAGTTCAGTTCAGCCTACCATCCGGAGACAGATGGTCACTCAGAGCGGACGATTCAGACACTTGAGGATATGCTTCGCGCCTTGGTCGTTGACAG